TAGACACACACACACACGCGCGCACGTACGCACACGCACGCACACACACACGCAAGCACACACGCAGACATGCTTGTCGCTTATCAAAGTATGCAGTGAGGCACCATGGCACAGGGTTAATAGTTGAAATGGCTATGTAACCAAATATGAAATGATTACCACAAGTAAAAACCGGTAACTTTGCAATGACAAACGCAACAAAGACATGTTTTATTCATTGTTTTACGCCGCACTCAGCAATATTCCAGCTTCTTCGCGGCGATCTGTAAATAATCGAGTCTGAACCAGACAATTCAATGTCAACAGCATGAGTATCGATCTGCCTAATTGGGATAGGATGCCATGTGTCAATCAAGTCACCGAGCCTGACCATCCGATCTCCTTAGTTGCCTTTTACGACAAGCATGGGTTGCTGAAGATCAATTCTGACTCTGACCTCTCGAGGGTCGCGTCTGTATTAACGTATGCTAAATAAGAATACACAGTGCACATTTACACAGGCGAAGTGTGAAGATTTTAGTCTTATCTGAAAAGCAAGAAATATCTACCCTTATTACAAAGCCATCGTGTATACGGATCGAATCCCAGCTAACTGTCACGTACTTAAAAGTATCGCTCAGTCAATGTTTTAGGGTAGATATACGGAGGACATATTCAAATTTGATGCTATAATTTGCATGCAAAGTTGCAGTGTGTTTTTAGTTGAACAATTGACTTGCCTTTGCATGTGTTTGTGACGGATGCTATCGGTGGAGAAGGATTATCCGGCTTTTTCTAATCGCTCTCCTACCATCTTTTAAATACATGCTCATGCTGTAGTACGTTTTGTCGGACATCAGTTGGATATAAGGGCGCTGAAAAAATGAATTGTTGTTGTTGTTGTTGCTGTTGTTGTTGGCATCCTTCTGTCTCATGCGACAATGGTGAATCTGCACGAAAATGAATATCCTGTCAGAAACAAACTTGCCCCTAACTTATCTCTCCTGGTAGGTCGGTCAGTGAAACCACTTGTTGATGGCCTTGAATAACCTTATATACTTTCCCAAAAAAGAAACGCATAATGAAAATAGCAATTTCATGTAGCAATGAATTAAAACGTGATTCATTTTACAAAAGGTTTTGCTCTGTTTATGAGTCCTATGGGGTTTATGTTTTGAAACATCACAACAAAACACACCATCCCTAAAATACCCGTATCAAACAGCATGATTTTCAATTTCGACGTGTAGTGTCACAGAATACACAATTCACATGCAATGCACGTGAAAGTTGGGGATCAGATAGTCTCAATGATGGGTATCACAGGTTGATCGCTGTCTGTCGATTATTCACTGTATTTGAAATATTGTTGACGAACGCAACATGCCACGTCTAAGTGAAGCCAACCGTCATATCGCCATTGGTTTGCTTGAAGCTGGCCAGTCTCAACGTGCAGTTGCCCGACGCATGAATGTTCACCAAAGCACCATTTCACGGCTCTGGGAGAGATATCGCTGGCAGAATGCGGTAGCAGATGACCCTCGTAGTGGGCGACCTCAAGCGACCACTGCGGCGCAGGATCGCTACATCCGGGAACATCACCTTCGTCATCGAACAGCTACGGCGACCAGAACCGCTCGACAAATACCCGGATTGAGGAGGCTTTCTCCACAGACCGTCAGGAACAGGTTGAGAGAGGCTGGTTTACGTGCCAGAAGACCTTAATTTGGCCCTGTGCTTCGACAACAATATCGTCGATATCGAGTTCAATGGTGCACCAACGTTCAGGCCTGGAACCTACCGAACTGGCATAGAATGTGGTTCAGTGATGAATCACGATTTCTATTGGAACGACGCGATGGAAGAATGCGGGTGTACAGACGTCGACGTGAACGTTTCGCCGACGCTTGCATTCCCCAGGTGGACATATTCGGCTGGGGAAGTGTTATGATGTAGGGAGCGATCACCTGCCGTAGGAGAAGTGATTTGGTGATGATCCAGGGCAACCTGACAGCTCAACGGTACTGTGACGAAATCCTACGCCCACACCTCCTTCCAATCATTGATCGCCAGAGGGAGTTGTACAGTTTCAACAGGACAATGCCAGGCCCCACACAGCACGTCACACTAAAGATTTCCTCCAGAACCACAACATCAATGTGCTCCCCTGGGCCCTCAAGATCACCGGACTTAAACCCGATGGAACATCTGTGGGATGCCCTGGACAGACGGGTGCGACGCCGTAACCCTCAGCCCCAGACTCTTCAGCAACTCGCACAGGCACTACAGGCAGATAGGGCTGCGATTGGGCAACAAGAGATTCTGAGACCACCACACGTCTCCATGTGACACTCAAACTGACTTTCCTCGAGTTGGTGCCAATGACGGATAAGTCTGCATTCCCAGTGTGCAATTTTGCTATATTTCATTGGCTCATAAAGCCTACATGATGTTTCAAAATGAACATAAAAATACAGTTGAAATTCCTATATGCGTTTCTTTTTTTGGGAGAGTATATTTACAGTGGTTGATTTATGGCTGAAGGAGCTGGTGCTTCCAGGAATCTGCTCCACCGGCATTATCATCTGGCAGTTTTGCAGAAAACATACATATGCTTCTGACAATCAGTTATTATTCAGTGATAGATGACAGAATTGTAGGTATTATCGTCAGCAGTAGCGATTTAAAACTTTCCCTTTTTCCTCTTTTCCTAAAATGTTATACTTATTTCTTGTCTATTTTTGAGAAATACCATTTGTCATTTTCACAAAATGTTCATAATAGCGGATTGTGGTGAGTGAGTGAGTGAAACGGTGGCGTCTCGTCGTGTCAACGTACCGTATAAATATTTTAACATTCAATGTTACTTTGGAGCTATTGTGAAGTCTCTGCTGAGGCCATGGAGTAGTAGATGAAGCTTCTGCCTAGAGGGTGGAAGGTTCGATCCTCGTTTTCGTCAAATCCAAATACATTATAAGATGCTACTTGATGGGACGAAACAAGCGTTGGTCGGCCACGCTCGTGCATGAGTTGTTCATCAATGTTCAACTGCCGCATTGTATCACATACGTGAAGGTCAGTCTGGTGCACGTTTACAAACAGACAGACAGACAGACAGACAAGAGCATACACAGACAGAGAGATATTCAGACACACACAGAGAGGCAGACACAAACACACACGCACAGGCAGAAAGCCACTCAGACACTGACGCACACATGCAGACAGATAAAAAAACAAATCAGACCCAGACACACATGCACAGACAAACAGACAGACACAGAGGCACACAGTCAGACAATCAGACCCAGACACAAATGCACAGACAGACAGACAGACACAGACGCAGACAGTCAGACAATCAGACACAGACATACATGCACACGCAAACAGACAGACACATTTATATGAACGTTGCTTTTAGTGGTATTATAATGAATCCGACGTTGAACTCAACTCTCTTGTCTTCAGAAGGAACCCTGTTTAACAGAATTTATCTACATAATTGTTTACCAAGTACACCTTCTGAACAATCTTTTGAAGGTTTACAATATCATTCTTGAGTTCATTTAAGTGTTCTTGTCACAGACTTTTCTTAGCTGTTGCAGGCATTGTAATGACCAAGAATAGCTCAGTTGCCACATGCGTGCTATCTGCCTTCCGTGAAGGAACTTAAAGACCGTCTCCCTCTCTGCACTCAGGTATTGATGTTGGCGTGACCGATCCAGACTATCTACCCTGTATCAGTGAGAGTGATCCATTCCAAGCGTGGCAAATGACATTGTTTTCACAGTGATAGTGCTGACATATCGAATGTCCACTATGGACAACTTTTTTTCAGGTCAGGTTGGTGTTTCTTGGCAATACGATACCGTTGATTAATCAACAGGTAGCATTTGCCCAGTACCAGCAGACAGGTCTCCTTGAAGAATTGGACTTGTTACAAATCGCAATGTGATTTGGAGGTGGATTGCCTGTAGCACGCACACTCTAGACATGTCTGAGAAATCCTCATTAATCGAGCATGTACTTCCTTCTGTTTACAGTGATGCATCAGTGACAAAAGTTATGTCCGATGCAATTCCTTATTTTCACTTGCGTTCCCGAATTATTTCAGGTAAACAGATGACTTGACTCTGCACATGTTTATGACGCGTGTGTCCAGTGGGGCAGGATACGCGCATCTTTCCGCAAACACCTAGTGTCATCACTATTTCAAATTGATTAATAAACACATGCTCTGTTATCGTATCGCATGGTGACATTCACGGATTGTCTGGTCCAGACTCGATTTGTTTACAAACAACGCCGTACAGCTGTAAGACTGCTGAAACAAATAAATGCTTGGCTCATGATATAGTCCAATCAACTCTGCTTTTCGCAGAGATTGTTTTTATAAATATGTCGCTTTTATTTCGAGACCATGTGAGCTCAAGTACAGGTGCACATAAACAAAATTCGTATAGAAATAAGTCCGTTGATTTCAGTTAGATGAAACCATGTTTAAAACGTTCATTGCATCACGAATCCTGAAGGATGCTCAAAACGATGAGTGATGTGATCAAATTATCTGCTAGAGACTGACTTCACACTGCCATGATCTTGTCAGCTGACAGGGAAGGGTAATGTCAAGGACAAGCGTGAAGTAGACCTGCCAACATTTGTAGACAGTAATCACTCAGTCTAACCTTAATTGCTGTTCCATCATCATGACGGAGACACAAAATATGTTTATGCTGATATTGTGTGTCGTCGAGGGCGTCCTGATCATTATTTAGAAGCAAACCTAAACTTTTATATTGTGCGAGAAATGTAAAACCTGTTTCAGTCACGAAATTAAATGTACGATATTTTCGATAACACAATTTTCACATCGATAATCATAAATATTTTTCTTATTTTCGATTATCGATACTTTTAGCCAGCCCTACAAATGATGTGAGAATGACACAGTTGCCACCAAAAAAGCAAACGAACAAACTGGGTTTTTTAAACTAAAAGTTGTGATAGACAGGAACACCTTAAAAACCTTTTTCGCAGATGAATTGGTTATCCGAATCGCAGTCATGCCCCTCGTACACCAGCCTATTATCTGCGAATGTGATTCCCAAGCAGTTGGCGTTATCCGATGCTATGTCCGCTGCCCAGGATATGGACGAATTGTCGTTGATCCATCTCCATGTGCCATCACCATTATAGTCTCTGCCGCCAAGGTACAAGACATTATCAGAATCACCTGAAAAAATATATACAGTATGAATCTACAACCAAAACAATATTTCGACATTTTACAGTTTGGAGTTTCATTGCTTACCGTCATAGTGATATCTGTGTAGTGATTTGCTGTTTGGTACATCACATTGCTATGTTGTTTCTTGGTTTCCGCCTGGTTCTTTTATGGACTGATTCCCGGTTCACAATTGAGATTGTACACGAGATTGGAAGGTCGGTTTATCATTATACTGTTTGGCATGAAGTTGACCATCATGGCATCCAGTTGGTATCAATTCATGGAAACTGGGTAACTTAGTTTCCTAATAGAATCCATAATAGATACTGTAAACTTATAGTTCCGGAAATGGAAACCATACTTCATACTTCAAAATGAATATGCCTGGGGAAGGAATAGCAGATTTTCATTTGAAAGAGTACATAATTTGTAAGATTGCTTAGATGAACAAGATGAAATGTACAACACTGCATAATAAATTTATAAATGTTGTATCAAGCACCATGCCTCAAAGTCGAAGATATGATGTTAATACATATACTGATTATTCACTGCTGTCCGATATCTCAAGAAAGAAGTTACATTACTTTATACAATATAAATGCCACTCAAAGAAGATGAAACACGATATTAGAAAGGCCACTCATTGTTAAGAGGCATACATGGACATGATGGGGGAACTAAAAAGGGGCTGAACTGATGGTTCTGATCATCTGGTGCAAGAAGGGTTGAGGGTTCAAAGACATTTAGGGAAGATCTATGCATCCTCTTATGCACGAATGGTGCTCCATGTCTTTCTCGACTGTTTGTTTATCGGTCGGAATTTCGGTATTGCAAAGTCGAAACGAGGTAAATTGGCCAGGACGTTCAACTTGAAGTGAAGGTATACTTATTACCTGGTTCAGTAACCATTTCCTTTCCATTGCTTCTCCCACCTGAACCAGAAACAAAGGTCACTAGTAAGACCACCTCGTCTGTTTCATATTGTAGATCTAAAACTGGATTTACTCATTAAATCCGGCTATTGAGGGAGTTTGGAATTAACAGTACTTTTAACGGTTCTATACGGTTCTCATACCACAGAGCGGATGTTGTAGACTTCTGTAACTTTGGTGAAGCCTACGTGAACGAAACTTAGAAACAGTCGGAAAGTAATGGCGTCGAAACCGGCAATCACAGGATTCAGCGAATTGCGGCGCCGTAGACGAATATGCCAACAGTATCTCTCGTTATTCCCTAAATAGTTAGGAAGGAGCTGGAGGTCTTGAAAAATCTGACAAAAGTATGGGAAGCCTAAGGGAACAGAAGACCATCCGTCTAAAACCACATCGTCCAGACTAGTAACTGTTGTCATGCCAAGTGTAAGAAGATGGCAGAGGTTTTGAGGCTTATAACTGTTATATTATTGAGAAATGGAGGGACTTGTATTTTACTAAGTTCAACATAAATCGTTTATCTGTCTTCCCACAGGTTAGACTAGAACCACATTTTCTGGTGCAGAGGTTCCATGCTGTCTCAGCAGGTGTGTTTGTTTGTTGTTTAATTGCACTAAGCCAATTTCAAGCTCTTTGGCGGCGGTCTGTAAATAGTCTGGAGCAGACAATGCAGTGATTGGGTTAAATCAGTTCGTTGTTTTACAACGCACTCACCAATATTCCAGCCATATTGCAGCAGTCTTATAATAATCGAGTCTAGACCAGACAATTCAGTGATCAACAGCTTGATCATCGATCTACGCAAATGGGATGTGTCAATCAAGTCAGCGAGTCATGGCATGAGGCAAACCAAATCAGCGAGCCTGACCAACAAGCATGGATTTTAACAAGCATGGATTGCTGAAGACCAAATGCAACCCAGATCTTCAGCAGCTGACCTGTGCATGGATTGTGAGCCTTTGCGGATCGATTTCGACGATACTGTTAAGTTCAGATATATACTGAACATCATTGAAAACGCACCACTTGTATTAGTTTGGATTTCCAAGAGCATAAATGAGCAATCGGTGTAAATTTTCCATACTTTTGTAGTCCAATGATTGGTAAAGAAAAGAAACAAGAACCAATCCAGCAAAACAGTGAAGTTTTAATTCAGCTGACCATGAAAGAAAGATGGAGTCAAATTGGAAAGTCAGTAACGTGTATGACCACCGTTAGCAGCAACACAAGCTGTGCAACGTCTCCTCATTGAACTGATGAGTCTCTGAATAATGTTTTGAGGCAATGCATTCCACTCTTGTTGCAAGGCAGTATCAAGTTTCCCAAAGTTGTTGATCTGTGGGCGACGTGAGAGGCGTTGGCCGATGTAATCCCACAAGTGTACAATGGGAGACAAATCTGGTGATAATGCAGGCCATGGAAGTAGAGGAATGTTGTTGTTTGCCAGAAACTGTGTTGCAACACGTGCAGTGTGCGCTCGAGCATTGTCCTGCTGGAATGTGTGCAGATCTTGATGTTGGTTAAAGAAGGGAACGACGTTGTTCTGAAGAATGGTGTCACGGTAGTAAAGAACATTCACTCTGCCACGACAAACTACCAGAGCGGTTTTGTGATGATAACTGATCACTCCCCACACCATAATGCTTTCTCCACCCCACCGATCTGTTTGCTCAACACAGTGCTGATGGTAACGTTCTCCCCGTCGACGCCATACCCGTAGACGCCCGTCAGCATTTCGCAACGTGAAAACGTGACTCGTCGGAGAACACAACACCATGCCAACGTCGTCACAACCACAAACGATGGTGTTCAGCCCATCGTCGGCGTTCACATCGATGTCTGTCAGTCAAGATAGGTCCAACATAAGGGCGTCGACACCATAATCCTGCCGCACGGAGACGGCGTCGGACGTCGGAAGCACTAATCAAACCACGTCGGTCTTGGACAGCGTTGGCTGTTCTGGAAGTCGGCAACTTACGATCCCGAATATGGCGCCGAACAATTTCTCGATCTTGACTAGGGGCGGCAACACGTGCCTGGCCAGGAGGTTGGCGGTCCCTGGCGGTTCCTGTTTGTTGGTCTTGTTTGGCAAGTCTTATGATGGTGGAATGATGGCAACCAAATCATCTGGCAATAATCCTGCTTGATGTGCCAGCCTGCAACATGCCAAACGCCCGTTCTCGTTCCTCTGTTGACAATCTTGGCATTGCAAAATAAACTTTATTGGGGAGGTACAGCTAAAATGAGAACATGTTTTGCCGACGGTCATTTATACCCCTAATCAGCATGTTTTAGACATGCAGTTTGTGCTCATCGTATGTGTTGTGCATGAATTTTGTTGTTGTCATGTGATGTGTTCCATGATGTGTTCGGGCAATCCTTTCTTTACGGTACAGCATTATGTATTGTCTGTTGTGTTATTAACAACATTTCCAACGTTCATTTTCACTCTCAAAACAATCCTATTACCATATTTCAAATTTACAGGTGGTGCGGTTTCAATGATGTTCAGTATATTTAGATATTGCATTTTACCTAGTTCAACCTGTATCCTAAATTTAACCCACAGTCATGCATTGATGTAAAACGGAATTGTTTGGAGCAGAATGTACCTACCATGCAGAACCACACTTTCAATGGCAGTTTTCCTTGTAGTTGTTTGGAGGGTGACGAGTTCAGCGTTCTCGCTGTGACATACACTCCGAGCTTGATCCCAATCCTTCTCCTCTGTATGGACCTTGTAGCACAGACTGGTAAGCTTGTACAATACATACCCGTCTGTATCTCTACATCCTGTGGGATCTGAAAAAACATTGTATATTATGGTGGGTTAGACGTTATTTTGTCTGATACTGATTCCATATTCACGAACGGTATTTCCTATCCAATAATTCATAGATACACATGTCCATTGTTGGGTTCTTTCAAGAACAACAATATGACACAGGAGTGAGGATTCGAACCTTGACCCCTTTTTATTCGGGACCCTTAGCACGTTACATAGCTGCACCGTACCCGGGTACTCGCATTAAAGGCACAATGTCACGCTTTTTTGTCAATATGTATATATATAATTGAAACTTCGAGGGGAACAGCTTCCGAACAGAGAACTCTTGCCAAATATGGAATGTAAACGATTGCTCCATACATCGAACACTGTCGCACGCGGTGTTGTCGGTGCTTGCCAAACTGGCCTCAATCACATATTGCGTTATAGGATATTTGTAAAGAGTGTTCCAAGGGACATAACTCTGTGGGGTTCGCTTGAGGGCGCGAGAGTCGATTTAATGCAACGTTGCACTAATTCATTCGAACTTTTTAATTTCATATTGTAATCTTAATGCGTATTTTTTTTCGGAATAAATTATATGGTATGCCGTTATTAATAAGATAGTTACGTAATGAATTTCGAGTAGTTACGGGACAATTTAGTAAAATGAACTTTGAGTGAGTGAAGGAACACTTAACGTCACATCAGTAATATGACAGCCATATCGTGACGAGACAACTTTCTACAATAATGTTGCATAACAATTCTGTCATCGAATGACAGAGTAATATCTAGATGATCACATTTTAAAAAATTTTTAAAAGTAATTTAAAATGCCATGCAATTACTAACACAGAATAAGGGGGGCAAGCGATCGCAAGCAACCAAATTTGGGACCTTAGTAGGGACCGTGGGGACTAACAGTTTTTCATAATATCGTATTAGTGATCTTTTATCTCAAGCAGGAATGACACTGAATAAGACCTATGATATTGAAAGTTGACAGAATCTGTTTACTAAATATAGCGGAGCGGTGGGGTAGCCTAATGGTTAAAGCGTTGGCTGGTCACGCCGAAGGCCCGGGTTCGAATCCCCACATGGGTACAATGTGTGAAGCCCATTTCTGGTGTCCCCCCGACGTGATGTTGCTGGAATATTGCTAAAAGCGGCGTAAAACCAAACTCAGTCTGTCAGTCAGTCAGTCAGTCAGTCAGTACTAAATATAGCCACGGCAGCAGCGCATTTTATAGTAAGCGCTATTTTCTGAACGTTCAATTGTTGCTACTGGATCTTGTGTGGGAGCATTTGGTGACTCCGGTGCTTAATGACAACAGTATATAAGAGATGTGTTGAGTATTGAAGGCGCTGAACGCCTGGAAGCCGAAGACGCGAACCACACTTTCAATGGTAACATTTTAATGTTTCCACATTTTCAGGAACAGCCATCAGTCACACATGGCATTCGTAGCAAGGCAACGTGGTACCACGTGAAATGATGCATGTAAATTGAGGAGAGTGTCATCGCCATAACAGAAGCCACTTTCGTTCGTGAAATTCAAAAGAAAACTCAGCCGCGTGGCGCTGGAAGCGATGTCTAAACTGTCATGTTCCTTACTTATCCATGTTCTCCTTACAGCGTTCCTTCCCAGTCGTTTCAGTTGGTGCTCTATCGACTCATGCCTTTCACTCGGTATCTTGCAGACTACAGGGCGGTAGGGTAGCCAGGTAGTTAAAGCTTTCACTCGCAGCGCCGAAGACTCGTATTCGATTCCCCACATGGGTAATGGGTACGGAACCCATTTCTTGTGTCCCCCGCCTTGATAATGCGGAATGTTGCTGAAAGCCGTATATAACCATACTCACTCTTGTAAATTACGAAAGCCAAAATACGCCGTGACCGTGAAACCATGACTACGCGTACCCCAACTTTAGTGGCCGTAACCTTTTCATCACCACTTGTACAGGCTACATAATTTATGGCTAGCGGGGATAAAATTGATTTTTTTGTATGGAGAAGCATGTACAATGTGAATGACACCCCCTAAAATTTATGTACAAAGTAAGTGACTTCCCCCCTCTCCCGCCCGCTCGTCATGTACAAAGTCAATGACACTCCCTTGTACATGTGTACAAAATTGTTGATCCCCGTACCTCCCAAAAACAAAATGATTGACCCCCTTAAAATCATCATCACATTCCCCACACACACCCACACCCACAGACACCCTTACCCCCAGCCATAAATTATGAATGTCCCTACAATCTATATATAATGGTCGCAAGTTCCTGCCCAAAGCATTCTAACAAGAACTGTCCTTGTCTTAGAGACATGTGGCGTAAGGCAAGCGATTGTTCTCATGAGAAGTCATTGTTCTAAATTGCAAGGGTGGTCCCACCCTGTGTAGAAACGTGACCGGTTTTAACTGTTTGTTCAGCTTGTTTGTTAGGCTGTTCGTTGTTTTATGCCGCACTCCCCAATATTTCAACTGAGAAACTCTATGCTCCGTTCCGATTTTAACATCTGACGGCCACTTATCTTTTACATCTACTTGTTCCTGGATTCAAAATGTTCGAGAAAGAAGCCGGGTTTTTTTTCTTGGTGTCTTTTGCTTGGTGTGCGTGCGTGCGTGCGTGCGTGCGTTTCAGGTTCAGGTTTGTCAGACCGTCGAATCTTGCCTAGTGCGGCGCAAAACAACAAACAAACATACAAAAGTCTGACTTATCAACAAACAGTGAAAATGCGACTGGCACAGAGACCATTCAACGATTTGGGACGAACATGACACCTTTACATACACATATTTTTATTTCATGACGGCAGAAGGTTGTAATAGTTAATTCGATTCTATAAACATTACGGCAAATGGCATGAATGATTTTGACAAACTGGTCATGTTTTACCTGGAACATCATAAGCGATCCAGTTAGAATGGTCAGCCGTTCCGTAGCCAAGGGCAGGCAACTCTTTGCGATGTAGCCGACAGTTCCTGGTGATGAAGTTGTAGAAGAAGCTGGCACAGTTTCCATTGGCAGCACAGTCAGAGGCACAGTGCGCAAGGTCATCTGACTGCCACTGCCTAATAAGGAAGTCATCTGTAGTCTCACAGTTACGTACTGGTAACTTCAGTGAAATGTTGTAACACAATGGGTTAGAAAGAATCATCAGCGGCAATAGTGAAAGTAGAAATGCCCTATATGACACCATATTCTTCAGTGAGTTACAAACACACCCATCAGATCCAAGGGGAAAAATCCCAAATGAATGCGTGTTAACTTGTAGGATGTACAAATATTACCACGTGACCAGTCTCTTATCAATTACAAGGCCGAAACGGTTTGGTTTTAGTTTCGGAATAGCAATATGTTTCTGTCATAGAATACATCAAATAAATGACATCACCTAAGATAAAACTAGATGGCAAAATGTATTACTATTAGGCTGATGACGCATAACAATTATAGCGTCAATACTTTCTGTCGTTAATCAACAGAAAAACAATCATCTCAAGAATTTGTTACAGTTGACTACAACAAAATATTAATTTTAAGTTATTGCCTTCAATTTTGTAGTTTTACGTTTACGTTCATTTTCAAGTAAATATGACTGATAAATAATAAACAAATAATTAATTTCATGCAACTATATTCAAATTGTGACGTTACTAAGATACGGTATTTATTTAACTGTGTAGATCATCTTGTCTTGATGGAGGTTCTTCCGTTTCAACCGTGAGCCATTTCTTATAACGATTTGTTTTATTCATAACTTGCACAAAGTGTTTAGTTTCTCAATAAATAGTAACCAACTTGTCTTGGAGTGATGTTGAGCGTTAAGGGTGTAATCGTTTCCAGGTAGATCTGATCAGGTAATATTGGTTTGCACTCAGTAAAAGCTTATCTGTTAATATTTTTAGTGTGCTACCTCAGTCGATTTCATGCTATTTCAGGCATGTTTGTTAAATATTGAATATATGTGTCAACCCAGGTGAGGTAAAGGTAAATAAATAGACATGTAAGGGCTATGTTCGACTTTTTAAAAATAGTTCAATTTTCACAAAATGGCGCAAAATGAAATATAGCTGCTCTGTGTATTTAGACATGAGATGATAAAACAAAACAGAGTCGGTTTGTCACATAGTCATCTTTTGCGATGAGCTAGTGAATATATATACTGCATATATATATATATATATTATTATTATACGCGTATTTGTCCTTCGAGGTGTCAACTTGACGTGCCTTTCGTGTGTTTGTGACGGGGGCCATCGGTGAACTGGATTAATAGTGATTCTGAAATACATGCTTACTATTCATTAAACGGACTTAGCTCTGATTTTCTTTCAGGATTGTGGTAATGATTCGCTATGAAATTGTGATAGTACCCTGCTTCTGGGACAGTACCCGTCACAAACACACAGACATGTCAAGCTGTCACTTGAGAAAACACAGGAACTATACACCAAATAGGGTGTCCAAATAGGGACTTGCTTCTAGAGCTGTGACGATATATCGTAGTATCGATAATCGTGATACTTCATCTAACGATAAATATATCGATACGCTTTTTTCGTATCGTTGACCTTAAAATTGTTAATTTTCACTAGATATTGACGGTTATGTCAAAATAAACAGTGTCACTTGCTATCAAAATACGATTTTTTAACTGACGTTTTACGCCGCTTTTAGCAATATTCCAGCAATATCACGGCGGGGGACACCAGAAATGGGCTTCACAAATTGTACCCATGTGGGGAATCGAACCCGGACGATTTTTTAAAGAACATAACTGAAGATAGCATTTCGTGATATGCATCGAATCGAATCGTATCGTTCCAAGATACCGTGATACATATCGTATCGTGAAATTTCTGTATCGTCACACTTCTAATTGCTTCGTACATGATTTCCTTCGCAGATGCATCAAATTTGGAAATTAAAATGTGTTTACCATGGTGATTTTGGAAAGATTCACTAAAACCTTGACCTGTGTAGGTCCGGGTTATGATTGATCTTCAGTAACCCAATGCTTGCCACAAAAGGCGACTATGCTTGTCGGAAGAGGCGACTAACGGGATCGGGTGGTCAGGCTCGCTGACTTGGTTAACACATGTCATCGTATGTCATTTGCGTAGATAGATGTTCATGCTGTTGTTCCCTGGATTGTCTGGTCCAGACTCGATTATTTACAGACCGCCTCCATATAGCTGGAATAATGCTGAGTGCGGCGTAAAACTAAACTCACTTACTCACTAAAATCTTGAACGTTGTCACCCCGATCGAAGAACTTTTGAGCAGGATCCATATGGCTCCATGAGAAACGTTCGGGCAAGCTGGAATCTCCTGCAAAACTTGTAGACAGCACATGCTGGAGAGGCTTGAATATATCTTAACGTGAATGAGCAATATAAACAGCATATTCCAGGTCCATTCAATTGCAATACTTTATTTATAGATAAAATCGAGAGAACCCCTTCAACAGAAGAGCTCCTACTGCACCAGTAGATGATATATAAGTAGATAATGAAGGCCATTACCGGCTCTCATGGTCGACCAATATGCTTCGTAAATATTTTAGTGGAGATTCGTATCTGCATCATCGACTATGTACGGCATGAAAATCAATAACAGATCTCGCGTAAAGGTTATAAAGTGTTTGTGTGTATGTGGTGTACAATGTGTGTGTAGTGTGTTTGGTGTGTGTTGTGTGTGCATGTTTTGTATGTTAAGGGGGTGGCAGGAGGTGAGATATTTTGAGAACAACGAGCAACGATTTTATATATATTTTATTTTTTTTATCGATTTTTATGTAGTGAATAAATACCATCGGTCATGCCATGTTTTGAATAATGGCCTCTTGGGCTATGTCTCGTACAGTTAAGGTAGAAATGATCCCGAGTGATTGGTATTGACTTCCACAAAGGCCAGCGCATACAATAGGTACAACTACATGTAGCATAGATTACTGCATCTGGCTTCAGGACATCGCAAGAACAGACCAGCACGTGGCGCATCACACGGGATAAGGTGTCTCGCCTGCCGCTGTGGTTAGTGCTGCCCACATTATTGCTTAGCTACAACTGTATGTGTTGAGATTATTAGGAACTATTAGGTTCATTGTTTGCTATTTATTCTCTACTGCCAGTTATTGTATCGAATGTTTGTGAGCGTTTAAGTGAGCGAGTTAGTGAGTTTAGTTTTAAGAGGCTCTTAGCAATATTCCAGCAATTTCACGGCGGGGCTTCACACATTGTAACACTGTGGGGAATCGAACACGGTTCTTCGGCGTGACAAGCGAACGTTTTAACACCTAGGCAACCCGATCGCCTCTCTCTTAAGAGCACCATTGCGTTACACGACTATGCGTGGGAGAATAAGCCTGATAGCATATTTACTGTATCATTTGGAGTTTATACGCTGCATTTGGTTACATGTAACTGGGAAAATCCTTGGTGATATCAATGGATTTAACCACCTTGTAAACTGTTCATATTCACTTACCACACGATCCTCTTCCCTAGGTACATTTCATAATTTTTGGTGATTTCGTATTTGATGTGTGGTTGTTCAAATATATACACAAAGAACTTTGCTACGCAACCCCTGACATATCTGACATGGTGGTTGAAAAGTCAGTTGGTTACTGGCATAAGGGTTGGTTGAACCACCCATTATGTCAGTAACCAACTAACTGTTCAACCAACCCTTTATGCCAGTAACCAACTGACTGTTCAACCACCTCTTATGCCAGTAACTAACTGACTGTTCAACCACCCAATATGCCAGTAACCAACTGACTGTTCAACCACCCCTTATACCAGTTACCAACTGACTGTTCAACCACCCCTTATACCAGTAACCAACTGACTGTTCAACCAACCCTTTATGCCAGTAACCAACTGACTGTTCAACCACCCCTTATACCAGTTACCAACTGACTGTTCAACCAACCCTTATGCCAGTAACTAACTGACTGTTAAACCACCCCTTATGCCAGTAACCAACTGACTGTTCAACCACCCAATATGCCAGTAACTAACTGACTGTTAAACCACCCTTATGCCAGTAACCAACTGACTGTTCAACCACCCTTATTCCAGTAACCAACTGACTGTTCAACCACCCAATATGCCAGTAACCAACTGACTGTTCAACCACCCTTATGCCAGTAACCAACTGACTGTTCAACCACCCTTATTCCAGTAACCAACTGACTGTTCAACCACCCTTATTCCAGTAACCAACTGGCTGTTCAACCACCCCTTATGCCTGTATCCAATTGACTGTTCATCCATCACTTATGCCAGTAGTTAATTGACTGTTCAACCACCCCTTATGCCAGTAACCAACTGACTGTTCAACCACCCATTATGTCAGTAACCAACTGACTGTTCAACCAACCCTTTATGCCAGTAACCAACTGACTGTTCAACCACTTCTTATGCCAGTAACCAACTGACTGTTCAACCAACCCTTATGCCAGCAACCAAATGACTTTTCAACCACCCCTTATGCCCCAACTGACTGTTCAACCACCCCTTATGCCAGTAACCAACTGACTGTTCAACCACCCCTTATGCCAGTAACAAACCGACTATTCAACCACCCCTTATGCCAGTAATCAATTGACTGTTCAACCACCCTTATGCCAGTAACCAACTGACTGTTCAACCACCCTTATTCCAGTAACCAACTGGCTGTTCAACCACCCCTTATGCCTGTATCCAATTGACTGTTCATCCATCACTTATGCCAGTAGTTAATTGACTGTTCAACCACCCCTTATGCCAGTAACCAACTGACTGTTCAACCACCCATTATGTCAGTAACCAACTGACTGTTCAACCAACCCTTTATGCCAGTAACCAACTGACTGTTCAACCACCTCTTATGCCAGTAACCAACTGACTGTTCAACCACCCCTTATGCCAGTAACCAACTGACTGTTCAACCACCCATTATGTCAGTAACCAACTAACTGTTGAACCACCCTTATGCCAGTAACCAACTGACTGTTCAACCACCCTTATGCCAGTAACCAACTGACTGTTCAACCATCCCTTATGCCAGTATCCAATTGACTGTTCATCCACCACTTATGCCAGTTATGTATTGACTGTTCAACCACCCCTTATGCCAGTAACCAACTGACTGTTGAACCACCAATAATGTCAGTAACCAACTGACTGTTCAACCAACCTTTATGCCAGTAACCAACTGACTGTTCAACCACCCCTTATGCCAGTAACCAACTGACTGTTCAACCACCCCTTATGCCAGAAACCAACTGACTGTTTTAACACCTAGGCAACCCGATCGCCTCTCTTTTAAGAGCACCATTACGTTACACGACTATGCGTGGAGAAATAGCCTGATAGCATATATACTGTATCATTTGGAGTTTATACGCTGCATTTGGTTACATGCAACTGGGAAAATCCTTGGTGACATCAATGGATTTAACCACCTTGTAAACTGTTCATATTCACTTACCACACGATCCTCTTCCCTAGGTACATTTCATAATTTTTGGTGATTTCGTATTTGATGTGTGGTTGTTCAAATATATACACAAAGAACTTTGCTACGCAACCCTGACATATCTGACATGGTGGTTGAAAGTCAGTTGGTTACTGGCATAAGGGTTGGTTGAACCACCCATTATGTCAGTAACCAACTAACTGTTCAACCAACCCTTTATGCCAGTAACCAACTGACTGTTCAACCACCTCTTATGCCAGCAACCAACTGACTGTTCAACCACCCCTTATGCCAGTAACCAACTGACTGTTCAACCACCCATTATGTCAGTTAAGTATTGATTGTTCAACCACCCCTTATGCCAGTAACCAACTGACTGTTGAACCACCCATTATGTCAGTAACCAACTGACTGTTCAACCAACCTTTATGCCAGTAACCAACTGACTGTTCAACCACCCCTTATGCCAGTAACCAACTGATTGTTCAACCACCCCTTATTCCAGAAACCAACTGACTGTTCAACCACCCCTTATGCCAGTAACCAACTGACTGTTCAACCACCCCTTATGCCAGTAACCAACAAACTGTTCAACCAACCCTTTATGCAAGTAACCAACTGGCTGTTCAATCAACCCTTATGCCAGTACCAATTTACTGTTCAACCACCCCTTATTCCAGTAACCAACTGACTGTTCAACCACCCCTTTATGCCAGTAACCAACTGACTGTTCAACCAACCCTTTATGCCAGTAACCAACTGACTGTTCAACCACCCCTTATGCCAGTAACCAACTGACTGTTCAACCACCCCTTATGCCAGTAACCAACTGACTGTTCAACCACCCCTTATGCCAGTAACCAACTGACTGTTCAACCACCCCTTATGCCAGTAACCAACTGACTGTTCAACCAACCCTTATGCCAGTAACCAACTGGCTGTTCGACCAACCCTTTATGCCAGTAACCAACTGACTGTTCAACCAACCCTTATGCCAGTAACCAACTGACTGTTCAACCAACCCTTTATGCCAGTAACCAACTGACTGTTCAACCACCCCTTATGCCAGTAACCAACTGACTGTTGAACCACCCATTATGTCAGTAACCAACTGACTGTCCAACCACCCCTTATGCCAGTAACCAACTGACTGTTCAACCACCCCTTATGCCAGAAACCAACTGACTGTTCAACCACCCCTTATGCCAGTAACCAACTGACTGTTCAACCACCTCTTATGCAAGTAACAAACTGACTGTTCAACCAACCCTTTATGTCAGTAACCAACTGACTGTTCAACCAACCCTTATGCCAGTACCAACTGACCTTTCAACCACCCCTTATTCCAGTAACCAACTGATTGTTCAACCACCCCTTATGCCAGTAACCAACTGACTGTTCAACCACCACTTTATTCCAGTAACCAACTGACTGTTCAACCAACCCTTATGCCAGTAACCAACTGGCTATTCAGCCAACCCTTTATGCCAGTAACCAACTGACTGTTCAACCAACCCTTATGCCAGTACCAACTGACTGTTCAACCACCCCTTATTCCAGTAACCAACTGACTGTTCAACCACCCCTTTATGCCAGTAACCAACTGACTGTTCAACCACCCCTTTATGCCAGTGACCAACTGACTGTTCAACCAACCCTTTATGCCAGTAACCAACTGACTGTTCAACCACCCCTTATGCCAGTAACCAACTGACTGTTCAACCACCCCTTATGCCAGTAACCAACTGGCTGTTCGACCAACCCTTTATGCCAGTAACCAACTGACTGTTCAACCAACCCTTATGCCAGTAACCAACTGACTGTTCAACCAACCCTTTATGCCAGTAACCAACTGACTGTTCAACCACCCCTTATGCCAGTAACCAACTGACTGTTGAACCACCCATTATGTCAGTAACCAACTGACTGTCCAACCACCCCTTATGCCAGTAACCAACTGACTGTTCAACCACCCCTTATGCCAGAAACCAACTGACTGTTCAACCACCCCTTATGCCAGTAACCAACGGACTGTTCAACCACCCCTTATGCCAGTAACCAACTGACTGTTCAACCACCCCGTATTCAAGTAACCAACTGACTGTTCAACCAACCCTTTATGCCAGTAACCAACTGACTGTTCAACCAACCCTTATGCCAGTACCAACTGACTGTTCAGCCACCCCTTATTCCAGTAACCAACTGGCTGTTCAACCAACCCTTTATGCCAGTAACCAACTGACTGTTCAACCACCCCTTATGCCAGTAACCACCTGAATGTTCAACCACCTCTTATGCAAGTAACAAACTGACTGTTCAACCAACCCTTTATGTCAGTAACCAACTGACTGTTCAACCAACCCTTATGCCAGTACCAACTGACCTTTCAACCACCCCTTATTCCAGTAACCAACTGACTGTTCAACCACCCCTTATGCCAGTAACCAACTGACTGTTCAACCACCACTTTATTCCAGTAACCAACTGACTGTTCAACCAACCCTTATGCCAGTAACCAACTGGCTATTCAGCCAACCCTTTATGCCAGTAACCAACTGACTGTTCAACCAACCCTTTATGCCAGTGCCAACTGACTGTTCAACCACCTCTTATTCCAGTAACCAACTGACTGTTCAACCACCCCTTATGCCAGAAACCAACTGACTGTTTTAACACCTAGGCAACCCGATCGCCTCTCTTTTAAGAGCACCATTACGTTACACGACTATGCGTGGAGAAATAGCCTGATAGCATATATACTGTATCATTTGGAGTTTATACGCTGCATTTGGTTACATGCAACTGGGAAAATCCTTGGTGACATCAATGGATTTAACCACCTTGTAAACTGTTCATATTCACTTACCACACGATCCTCTTCCCTAGGTACATTTCATAATTTTTGGTGATTTCGTATTTGATGTGTGGTTGTTCAAATATATACACAAAGAACTTTGTTACGCAACCCCTGACATATCTGACATGGTGGTTGAAAAGTCAGTTGGTTACTGGCATAAGGGTTGGTTGAACCACCCATTATGTCAGTAACCAACTAACTGTTCAACCAACCCTTTATGCCAGTAACCAACTGACTGTTCAACCACCTCTTATGCCAGTAACCAACTGACTGTTCAACCACCCCTTATGCCAGTAACCAACTGACTGTTGAACCACCCATTATGTCAGTAACCAACTGACTGTCCAACCACCCCTTATGCCAGTAACCAACTGACTGTTCAACCACCCCTTATGCCAGAAACCAACTGACTGTTCAACCACCCCTTATGCCAGTAACCAACTGACTGTTCAACCACCCCTTATGCCCGTAACCAACTGACTGTTCAATCACCCCGTATGCCAGTAACCAACTGACTGTTCAACCAACCCTTTATGCCAGTAACCAACTGACTGTTCAACCAACCCTTATGCCAGTACCAACTGACTGTTCAGCCACCCCTTATTCCAGTTACCAACTGACTGTTCAACCAACCCTTTATGCCAGTAACCAACTGACTGTTCAACCACCCCTTATGCCAGTAACCACCTGAATGTTCAACCACCTCTTATGCAAGTAACAAACTGACTGTTCAACCAACCCTTTATGTCAGTAACCAACTGACTGTTCAACCAACCCTTATGCCAGTACCAACTGACCTTTCAACCACCCCTTATTCCAGTAACCAACTGACTGTTCAACCACCCCTTATGCCAGTAACCAACTGACTGTTCAACCACCACTTTATTCCAGTAACCAACTGACTGTTCAACCAACCCTTATGCCAGTAACCAACTGGCTATTCAGCCAACCCTTTATGCCAGTAACCAACTGACTGTTCAACCAACCCTTATGCCAGTACCAACTGACTGTTCAACCACCCCTTATTCCAGTAACCAACTGACTGTTCAACCACCCCTTTATGCCAGTAACCAACTGACTGTTCAACCACCCCTTTATGCCAGTAACCAACTGACTGTTCAACCACCCTTTATGCCAGTAACCAACTGACTGTTCAACCACCCCTTATGCCAGTAACCAACTGACTGTTCAACCACCCCTTATGCCAGTAACCAACTGGCTGTTCGACCAACCCTTTATGCCAGTAACCAACTGACTGTTCAACCAACCCTTATGCCATTAACCAACTGACTGTTCAACCAACCCTTTATGCCAGTAACCAACTGACTGTTCAACCACCCCTTATGCCAGTAACCAACTGACTGTTGAACCACCCATTATGTCAGTAACCAACTGACTGTCCAACCACCCCTTATGCCAGTAACCAACTGACTGTTCAACCACCCCTTATGCCAGAAACCAACTGACTGTTCAACCACCCCTTATGCCAGTAACCAACTGACTGTTCAACCACCCCTTATGCCAGTAACCAACTGACTGTTCAACCACCCCGTATGCAAGTAACCAACTGACTGTTCAACCAACCCTTTATGCCAGTAACCAACTGACTGTTCAACCAACCCTTATGCCAGTACCAACTGACTGTTCAGCCACCCCTTATTCCAGTAACCAACTGACTGTTCAACCAACCCTTTATGCCAGTAACCAACTGACTGTTCAACCACCCCTTATGCCAGTAACCACCTGAATGTTCAACCACCTCTTATGCAAGTAACAAACTGACTGTTCAACCAACCCTTTATGTCAGTAACCAACTGACTGTTCAACCAACCCTTATGCCAGTACCAACTGACCTTTCAACCACCCCTTATTCCAGTAACCAACTGACTGTTCAACCACCCCTTATGCCAGTAACCAACTGACTGTTCAACCACCACTTTATTCCAGTAACCAACTGACTGTTCAACCAACCCTTATGCCAGTAACCAACTGGCTATTCAGCCAACCCTTTATGCCAGTAACCAACTGACTGTTCAACCAACCCTTTATGCCAGTACCAACTGACTGTTCAACCACCTCTTATTCCAGTAACCAACTGACTGTTCAACCAACCCTTTATGCCAGTAACCAACTGGCTGATCAACCACCCCTTATGCCAGTAACCACCTGAATGTTCAACCACCTCTTATGCAAGTAACAAACTGACTTTCCAACCACCCCTTATGCCAGTAACCACCTGAATGTTCAACCACCTCTTATGCAAGTAACAAACTGACTGTTCAACCAACCCTTATGCCAGTTATCATTTGAAAGGCCAACCACCTCTTATGCCAGCAATCAGTGGACTGTTCAACCACCATCATGTTTCATGGTTTTTGTGTTGATAAATTACAGAAAATGGTTCTTTATATGTGATTACTTTGATTACTTTAAATGTGGTCTTTGATCACAAAATCTTCAGGCAAGACTACATGACTCTTCAAGATAGTGCGAACAGAAGACGTACCGAGCCTATATACCTTAAATACTCAAGTTCGGCGGAACACATGATATTTTCGAGCTAATACCTCAAGGATGACCTGTACCTTGACCTTGACCTTGGATACCTGGATACAAATGATATAAGAACTACATGCTTAAGCGGTACAGTAAATGTATGCAGGACAAACAGAATTTGTTAAAATTGGCATACATGCTTAATGTCTTAATGTTATGTCCGATGTTGAACAGTGGCCGATCGTATATCCTTCTCAAGTTAATAAGTAAACGTTATTCTCAGGCTATGGATGATGTACATACCTTCAATTTCATCAAAACACTTGCAATGCATAATTCACACGAAAACCGTGATATCGTAAAGTCAGATTTAATGTCTTCTGGCATAATAAACTACAGGGTAACGTTCCAGGTATTTTTAGTTGGAGCTGATGTACACATTTGTTTCTATTGACCAGCCTGGCAAACCAATGAATCTGTAACGCAGAATAACACTGGAGAGGTTTATTCAAATACTATATACATTTGTAATATTTCTTCACTGAGCTACCATACCATCGATTATTAAAATACATAATTACGACTCTGATGATACAAGCTATATATTCATAATACAGTAAGCTGCGTTTATAACACGTTATACCTTATAACACTAAAAAAGACCACTCATTTCAGTTTGTTGAAACCGTATTTCTTTAAAGGCGTCTTCGTAATAAAAGTGGTTTACAGTATACATGGTATTCGTGATACTGAAACACTGTCAGCTATAGTTTCTGTTTATGGCGGTGTTCCAAATTTGAGAAATATGATACAACATGGACATTGTACTGGTTGTGTGTTCCTTGTTCAAGGTTCGACACATTGCACTTTCAAAGACGCTCACGCCGACTGTAAAGCCTCATCGTACAGCAAACCTGTTGGAAACAGAAAACAATCATTTAACATAAGCCTGAATGAATATAGTTTTATGATGCCTTTTGTAATTCTCCAGACTAATGACAACGGAAGAAGGCAACAAATGGCTCCAAACATTGTATCCATGTAGGGAATCGGACGTCTTAACAACCAGACTACACCAAGGTCATAAACATAGCCAAGTCAGTTTAATATGTACAAATTACATATACACTGTATTAGGGTAAAGTCACTCACGAGAGTTCGAATACCTACATATCTAACCATATACTGTGACACCCGTAATGGTGCAATTGGAACTCATTACGCCTAGACAAGCTTTGAGCGAAAAGATTTTATACTATTTGCCAAGCATACTTTGAATTTAATGTCTCAAATCTTGAAGGCAAATAATACGGGGTTTTTTAATCCACTAACGGTACCCAAAATAGCCCAGAACCTTATATATCTCGGCCACTTCTACTTCTCACTCGAGTAGCCTAGTGGTTATCGGTCGTTGCGCTGGAGACCAAGGTTTGATTCCCCGCATGGGTACAATTTCTGGTGTCCCCCCGCCGTGGTATTGCTGGAATATTGCTTAAAACTAAACTCACTCACTCACACTACTCGCTCACCTGCGATGCATGCTGTCATAAAGCAGGCCATCTGCCCAGTGATGTTTGCCCTCAGTACATATTTTGTGATGGTGGTCCTCCGTTCGGGGCACAGCGCGATCAGCGTTCCCATGGCAACACCAACTGCCCCTATGTGGTTGAGCCCACATAAGGCATACGTACCAAGCACCTCAGAACGTTTCTGAAATACAATGGAAGAATTAGAGTCTAGGAATTAGACATACGGATATGGGTGGCAGTCACTCGTGTGCATGTCATTTGATACTATTTACAATACTGCATTTACATTCGCAGAATTCACATATGTGTCTGTTGTCTGCACTCAGCACTATTCCACAGGGGCTTGTAACGAACAAAAAAACTGGCATGAGGTATATACAGAGACTGATGGAGTCTTGACACTTAATAAAATGCCCACTGTATATACCCGATGAATTATTTCGCATTTCAAGCCCTACAAAATGACACAAACAGCACAAGAATCAAAGAAGTACTTTGGGAGCTAGGGTCTTCGGAGCTCGATAAGTCGTGATTTCCCGATTGCGAGCTAAAATCCCTGCTCAGAATTTGTGCTAATAACTTACCAATTTTCTTGTTCATTTCACCGTATACACAAACATCATGCACTAAAACATGCTGAATTGATGTCACCTATCAGCGCACTAGTCGCCATGGTTTCGTAGACACTTACACCTAACTGTCAAAATTTTACATACATTTTATTCATCGCAAACAGGCCGGTGTTGCGCCCGTTTGCCATTGATGACCTTGGCGATCTGATGGGACAACTTTAAGTTTTAACCAATCAGGTCGCTAGCTCTTTTTCAGTGAGACCAAGTTCATCAATAGCGAACGGGCACGACACAGGCCTTTGGTGAACACGAAGAGCACTTCAGTCTTTATTTAACAAATAGTAACACGAACTTGACAGTTTGAAATATTCCTTTACATTCAAGCAATAGGGATATAGTTGTAACTGTGGAACTGCAGATTGGATCTTTTTCTACCACACGATCATAGAGTAGATTTAACGGACTGAAGGCTACACAACGTCGATAACATACCCGGGCTCTTTAAGCATACTTTGTTGTCATATGCTTCCAAGCTGCATTTTACGACTGTCTGGACATGTTGGTGAGTTTAATCCACCAATTTACTGTCCTAGTCATATATTTCTGCGCATGTCCTTTGGTGATTGATGTGACGGATGTGACCCTGACATTGAACGAGAAGCAGGCTTTCTCCGGATCCTGCATTAATGACCTTGTTCAGGGACGACAGTACTTAGAACGCTTTAGCTGAGACATCGATGCGCTTGCTGTACTTAAAAGCCGTCAAAAAACATTTAACAACATGGGCGATAGCGGAGCTGATTCAACAAGTAACACAGCAAGTCTTAATGCTGTAAATATACTTACGAAACAAATATCATAACTAAAGTAGAACATTGCTCCCTTATATTCTAATACTCGCTTGGGGTCCAAGCGATAGTAAAGTTGATGAAACAAATAACAGCGAGTTTTCAACCAAACCATCACATGTCTAATACTTCAAACATAAAGTGTGACACAGCTAATGGTTTGAAATATGATGACACCTTCAACTATCAAGGCTAACTTGACAGATGGTGTAGAAACTGAAATGGTTGTGGTGGGTAACTTGACAAGGCGCCAATAGTGTCACATGATTTTACAGGCAGAGCAGAGGCTCGTAGAAATTCTCTACGCTGCGGATAAAAACAACAACAACAACAGCAAATGTATCCGAAAACCGAAAATTACCGTTCTTCAAGCCGAACCATAAAGAGACAGAGAACGAATCCATGGATGCTACATTGAGCCCAGTATATCAGTTTGGACCTGACCATGGAACCCAAAGTGGGAGACAGATAAGTGTTTGTCTGTTTGTTTGTTAGCAATATTCCAGCTACATGTAGTTGTATTTCCTTTTGTTTGGAGAACGGTATCCATAGGATGATTTTCAAGGCGCTTCAATGTTTGCACGGTGACGTTAAAAGTATCGGCGTCACTGAACGGGGAAGAAACTTGTGTTTGACTGTTCTACCAGTGTCAGACAAGGGTGTCCACTTAGACATATCTCTTTCTCGACATTTCTCGAAAACAGTCTTGAATATTCATATTCCTTTCCAGTTAATTGAATTTAATGCTATATATAGCATCCGAGCACTCCTGTTTGCAGATGATATTAATTTGGACATGGAAATACATCTACAAGACAGGTCCAGATACTAACCTCAAGAATTCCACCGACCAATGTTACATTGGTTGCGTCTAATATTACATTGCCATCTTGCCAATGCCAGGTACCGTTGTGAACCAGCTGATATTGCTCAAGATCCTTCCTGTTGATGACCAGCCTGCCAAACTCCATAAATCCAACAAAAGAATTGGCAAAGATTTTGATGCCCATCAGTTCGCCTATCTTGAAGAGGTCGACCTTGGGGAAGCCCATTATGTACGCCAGCGGATAGAACATGTAGGAACAGAGAAGCTGTGGTAAAGAGAAGAGGGTCATCGAAACAGTAACGGTGACATTAGGGACTGCGGAACAATTCTTCACATTGTTTTACTTTGTATACGATTCATGGATTGATTGATTGATTGATTTTGTGTTTAACAACACAGTCAGCAATATTCCAGCTATATGGTGCCGGTCAGTAAATAATCGAGCCTGGGCCAGACAATTAAGTGATTAACATCATGAGCATCGACATACGCCGTTGGGATACGATGACATGTGTCAACCATGTCAGCGTGAATGACCACCCGTTAATTTGCATACGAGCAAAAAGTAGAATCACTTCCTTTCAAATAATATTTACTATTTAGCTCTGACTTTACTCTGCTGTATACGTATAGAAACATATACGATATGGACACATTCAGCTTTTTTTGGAACAATTTATCAAATTTACCAAACTCAAGAATGTCGTGTAATTTATTTCCAATTTTATTTCATTAATAAGTAAAGCTTATAAACAAACGTTGCTATGACACGCTTTTCGACTCAATGAAAACTTGAGAACTGAACTATGTTTGGATTCACGGACGAAATTGAAATAATGTCAACATTTAAAGATGTGGTATATATTTCATGATATTGTGACAGTTGAAAGGTAAAGTGTTTCAGTTCCCAAGTTCATACGAAATGTATTGATCTCATCACGATAACAAGTTCAGGTTTGCGTCGATCACAATCGACGAAGGTGTATAACTTAACAAAGTTGAATTAGACAATCCAGTGACAGACATCATGAGCATCGATCTACCACCGTTCACTTTAGTTGCCTTTTGCGACAAACGCTGGTTACTGAAAGTGTACTCTTATAATCAGAACGCATAAATGATTCGCCAATGCTATACGCCATCCCACTACGTCAGCTCCACAAAAGGAGGTACACATACCGAGAACGTCACGCCTTTCACTCCCACCCTGTGCCCAAACCATTGAAATGCGGTGTCTATAAATTCAATAGCGGCGATGAAGACGATCTGGTTGACAACGACGGTGGACGCCAGTGTGATGCCATCAACAGCGCCGATAGATATTGCTTCCAATACGCTCTGAAATTTCCTGAAAGATATATCAAGACACTCTTGTGAACATGTTATATAAAAATAAAAACATATGATAATGTCAGAATTTGTTGCGATAAACTGAGTGTATCTTCCTCCATCGGTGTGTATGGGACATCATTTGTCACAGACACTTCAAATTCTGCCATTAAACATTGTGAACGCTTTATTAGAACCTTGAATACGTACATTTCAAATTATTTAGATTTGTGAGCGTGTGGAGAAATTTTAATGTGAATATGCAATATGTTATGTCGAACACTTGTGTTTAGTGGTGACTTATAAATTCTTGGGAAAAAATGAACAATCATCAAGTTTGTCAAGGTTCTCGATGTGACCAAGCACATTGTTTGACATAAAATTACACCACTGCTACCCTTGTATGTGTGCATTGGACAAAGCGGCTGTTGGGTCTGGCATGTTTAATGATAGTCCATGTCTAGTGTAATCGATTCTTACTTACGCCATTGTTATATTGTAAGCATCTTCTGGTTTGACCCTAGTCCGTCGTGTCTCCGGCATGGTCAGTTTCGCCATTGCGAGGGCGGCGGGGGCAGACATCACAGACGCTGTGAGGAGGTGGTTGGCAGGAGCCTGCAGAGGGATGCTTACAACATGTAACACCATACAGAATCCCCTATCTAAGGAGTACATACATACAGCCAGCTGTATTCTGCACCATCTAAAGTCAGAGGGGTTTTGTACATGTTTGCAAACACCAACACCATAGGTGTCAAATTTTGAAGACAGTGCGATGCCAGGCGACAGACAACTCAGGTCTTGAATGGCATTTAGAAGTAATAGACTTCTTTATTATGAGGACATAACGTTTCGGAGCATATCCTTCCTCCTAATTCATCGCTCGAAGAAGTAAGAATATACTCCGAAACGGTGTGTTCCTCATGATAAAGAAGTTGACATCCATAAAAACTCTCTTCGATAGAGTGAGTGAGTGAGTTTGGTTTTACGCCGCTTTTAGCATTATTCCAGCAATATCACGGCGGGGGACACCAGAAATGAGCTTCACACAATGTACCCATGTGGGGATTCGAACCCGGGTCTTCGGCGTGACGAGCGAACGCTTTAACCACTAGGCTACCCCACCGCCCCTCTCTTTTATAGACAACTCACACACTGGTCATTGACATGATATTCGTATTTGTTTAAGAACTGAGAAATTCGGGGATCCATCTCTGAGCAAATATAGAACATCGATTGTGTTCATTCTGATATTGTCCTTTTGTTGATTTCAGTGACTTAAGTGTCAATATCATTAGGTATCAACAAACTGCTGTACAGATAATTAAAGGAATGTAGTTTGGTAACTATTGTTATTAATGTTCGTTTTGCTTATAAACCAAGAAGCAAGCTAAGTGAAAGTATACATTACATACATGAATAGATACTTTTGACACAGACACATTGAGGAAGCAGCAAAAGTTATAAGCAGTGAGATACAAATGAATGTTATTGGAACTTCCGTTCTGGCAGTGGTGCAGACACGTCGTACTTCCAATAGAGGCAGGAAGGTGAGGTGAGGTGAAATTGGGTTTTACGTCGTGCTTGAGAATATTTCGCCCATATGACGACGTGCATGCGTGTGTGTGTGTATGTGCGGCTGCTTGTACTAGCCTAGACTGAAGCTGGTTTTATAGTGCTAGCCCACTGAGATACCATGCCGCAGTGAAGCATGAATACCTCACTCAGACACATTATACTGACTCCGAGCCGACCAGTCCGCATTGTACCCATTAATGCCGAGCGCCAGGCAGGGACCAACAAGTACAAAATTTTAACGTCTTTTGGTATGACGCGGTCGGGGATCGAACCCGCGACCTTCCACTCTCCGGGCGGACGCTCTAACCACTACACCACGGAGTCGGTCAATAGAGGAAGGAAATATACCCTGGATGTTGCTAGAAAAATCGACAAAATGGCGTGTCAGACTAGGTGCTAGACAACATTGGGGTCATAACAGATGGGGGTAGACTAGATGCGGGTGTCATGTTAGTGTACACGAAATGGGGGTGTCAGATTGGATGTAGGAGACTAGATTGGGATATCAGATTAGACGGGGTAAAAAAGATGGGGGTGTGAGATTAGATAGGATAGACTATCACGCCTCTAACTATATTCAACTTGATAAAAAGTCATTGACAAGAAGATATAACTTACTCCAAAGTTCACAAGCATTCCAAAGACACTTCCGGAAATACTGGAGAAAGTTGCGACCATGATGGCATGCATCTCAGATGCAGTCAGTAATGGCAGGAATGGTTTGATAGCCATTGGAGCCTCAGACTGAAGTCGGAATATCAAAACAATCATGTGATGCAGCACAACTTGGCATAAGACGGTACAGGGATGATAACTGCATTCGCTATTTAACCCCACTTAGTAACGATCATATCCACGTGTTCCTACAACAACGACCGCGCCGCAAGAGCATGTTTAGTGTCGATACAAAGGGTGACGGAAAAGACCTGAGCTTAAATATGATGGTTCTTTAAGATATTGCTAACTCTTTCTTAACATAGTTATATCCAAGGTCTATGCACTTCACCTAATGACACCATGACCATCTGCATAGCTACGACATCTTTAGGATGGAGGCCATCATTGTACTAGTTTTCACCTTCTTCATTAAAGAATACCTTCGACGTTACCTTAACATATAACCTACATATAACCTGGTTGTATAAGTGTCTTTTAAAAACGCTCCCTTCAATCATTAAAAGTTTTACGGGTTTTACCCAGAACGTGCCACCCTGTACACAAATCTTGACAGCACAGTACATAAATTGTGACAAAAGGGGGCCGGTATTAATTGGTCATCCAGGATTCAAAGTTATTCGATAATACTATTGCAAACTTATGTATGAGAAACACGTTTGTCTGAAAATAGCTGAAAGGTTAACCATTATATATACAGGCTATGTTAAACACATCCTATGAAAGATATAACGAATCGTGAAGGTTTGGCTGATATCTCTAATGAAGGCTGGGGGAAGTGTTGAAAGTACTGTTAGTACTCACGGGACCAAGAAACATGTTGAAGGCAGCGTTGACAGATTCAACAGCGCTCGTACCCATACAGAAGAAGAGGAACTTCCCGAAGTTCTTGACAATAGCTTGGAGCACCCCGTAGTGGTACAGCATGTTGACTGTGGAACTCATGAAAATAATCAGTGGCATTGTCTGGAAGGAGAAATCCAATAATGTTATTACCTCTTTGGATGAACACGTACGATTTTAACAATTGGTATCTGACCACAATATATGATAAATGCATATACTAAGTTTACAGGTACTAAATGGTTCTAAAACTTTCTGTATCGATTCATATTTTTTAACAGTTTTTGAAATGATCATTTGATTTACGTTCCGAAGATATAAAATTGCTTTCAAGTTCATTTAATATAATCTTTCGACCTTGAGAGAATGTTTTTTGGCATTCCGATGATCATTATGATGCAAATATCGACCAAGGTTCTTAAGATCACATATTTGCTTGGTTGCTATTTATTACAGTTTATTCACTTATTAATAGTCACTTATTAAATACATATACATATAAAACAATACCAATTTCAATTGCAAGCTTTGGGCAGAACAATCACCTTACCACTGAGTGAACTGAGCAAACTGGTTGCCCATATTGTTAAATATTTGGAAAATTATGTTTCATTTTCAACTATTGCCCAATTAACGCAATGAGCAGGTGTTTGTTCGCACACTGCATGCAATTAGCAGGCTGAATTGCATATTGCACGCATTGGGAAAACGGCCTGCCCAAAGCACGTAATGGGCAGTTGCACAGATTGGGTGTAACATATCGTCCATTTGGATGGTAGTGATGGGGCAACTATTCTTGAGAACCAACGCACCACAAACACAAACTGGTGATCTCTGAAGCTGTCCCCAAACACAAACTGAGAACCTTTGTCTGTGTGTCTCATGTATTCTTCAAGCCTCTCTCCCAACCAGTTGAAAACGCTGTATCCAAATCTCGACCGGAGGATGAACAGCGCAAACAGAAACTGTGTTGTAATGCCCCAGAACACTGCATGCCAGTTGACCTGTAGGAAATGAGGGATGTCTGAATACGAATCTGGTTTGCTTTCCAGAACTGATTATATATATTTCCGCATTCCGTGTGTATAAGAAGGTTATAACTTTAGTGAAACCCATGATCCCAATCATGGATACTGTTGTGACAAGGAATAATGATTATATTGGATGCGAGATTCGAACCGCGACCTAAGGTTCTAGGCACGGGTAACTCAGCTCATTTACGTCTAACGCATTACATAAGGACAACACTCATTGACTGTATTAAATGATGTAATTATCATAAGCCTAATGTATAATCTTATTATCAGATCTTCACCAGAAGATCCGGGGTACAGTTGGTCTTCAGCAACATATGCTTATCGTAAGAGCCGACAAACGGGATCGGGTGGTCAGACTTCATATCTTTGTATACCAAGGTGCCGTTGTACAAAGCGATCTTAGCACTAAGGTGACCGTAACTCCCATGCTTTAACACTGACTTAAGGTAACCTTAGCACTAAGGTGACCGTAACTCCCATACCTTAACATTGACTTAAGGTAACCTTAGCACTAAGGTGACGGTAACTCCCATACCTTAACATTGACTTAAGGTAACCTTAGCACTAAGGTGACGGTAACTCCCATACCTTAACATTGACTTAAGGTAACCTTAGCACTAAGGTGACGGTAACTCCCATACCTTAATATTGACTTAAGGTAACCTTAGCACTAAGGTGACCGTAACGCCCATACCTTAACACTGACTAAAGGTAGCCTTAGCGCTAAGGTTGCTTTGAACAACGGCACCCTGATCTGTAGAATATTGATCATAATCAATCATAAGCGAATATAACTGGAATATTGTTTAATGCGGCGTTAAGGAAGGGAAAACAAACTAATATTACCAGGTCTGGGCGTTTGGAGAATATGTAACCGATAACTATGAAGAAGACCAGTCCTGCGAGGGAGGTGAAGTTCTTTGGACTTGTTTGTAGAATGGTTAGACACAGGTACGTGATAATGAACAAAAGTATCGACAAGTACAGGAACCTGAAACAGCAAACGGAAGTAATACAGTATCTTATTACATACATTTGTGTAATAACTAAATACCATATGCCAGCAATTACATAGTGATAAACACAATATCTTCACGAACTAATTAATTGAATGTGTCCAATCGACATTCAGCATGTCAAGTGTCATATTTAGATATTTAGGACGCTGGGGTGGCGTTGGAATGACATGGGGACAAATTGTTGTTGTTTTTTTATCAGGTTCGAGAAGAGAAATGTTCTCTAAAAAACAGGATAAAAAAGTGTTTGCCGATTTTCATATCTAAACAACAATAATAAAGGGATTTCGTTTTACGAAAACTTTGATTTTTATCAGTTTATAAAGAAGATAACTGTTCAAAAACAAAACTAGAACTGCAGTAAAACAAATACAAGTAGGGATAATGACTTCATCAAAGAGACAAATCATACCATCTGATTCCTTTTCGAACTATTGGCCTTCTCAGGGTCTGGCATCTGCAACCTTCTCTGATCTTCTGGAAGATTTTCCCGCTGAAGTTGCTGTAGCCAACAAGAAACAAAACAAAACACGTGCCCCAGACAAGCCTGACAGAGCCTTCATCCCCAAACGAGTAGTCTATGCAGAAGCCAAGATACACCAGGTAGACAACTAATATGACAGACCCAACAACGCGACCGATAATAGTCTTGTGTTCATTCAGTTTGTGTACGATTGCTGTTCTTGTTTGAGCCACTCTTCCTCCACACTTCAAATAGTACTCTCGAAACTCCTCCTCGTCTTCTCTCTCTTCTTCTCTTTCCTCCTCCTCGACTGACAGGTCATTTAAATGTGTCAGAAGTCCATGTTCCTCGAAGTCTTCTTTGTCAACCTTAATTAAAAATGGAGATTGAGATAACTTGTTTTCCTCATGTCCGTGAAATATGCATGTCCGGTTGATCAGAATGGATCTTAAAATAATTATCTGGATAAATAACCTACATATAAGTCTCATGACTATCAGGACAATGATGTGCAGCTGATGACTCAGGAGCCAACGCACCCATGAAGATCCGGGTTAAAATTGATCCTCAGCAACCCATGCTTGTTGAAGAGTCGACTAACGCGATCGAGTGGCCAGGTTCGCTGACTTGGTTGACTCACATCACCGTATGCAAATTGCGTTGATCGACGCTCATGTTGATGATCACTGAATTGTCTGGTCAGGACTTGACCATTTACAGAGCGCCACCATATAGCTGCAATACTGTTGAGTGCTGCGTTAAACAACAAGCCAACAAACGAGCATAACAGCCAAAGCGCAGATTTGTTAGTTTCTTGTTTAACGGGGCGGTGGGGTAGCCTAGTGGTTAAAGCGTTGGCTCGTCACGCCGAAGACCCGGGTTCGAATCCCCACATGGGTACAATGTGTGAAGCCCATTTCTGGTGTCCCCCGCCGTGATGTTGCTGGAATATTGCTAAAAGCGGCGTAAAACCAAACTCAGTCAGTCTTGTTTAACTCAACTATACTCAAGTTGTGTGACAGCGGTGTGTGAATAATCGAGTCTAAATCACACAGTCCAGTGAGCAACAGCATGAGTATTGATGCCAGCACCTAAGATGCAAAGATATGCAGCAACCAAGTCAGTCAGCCTACTTCTCTTTCGAGAACCATTGGTTGCCAAAGAACCGGAAACTTCATGGGCCGCCAACATACACACAATCTAATAATCAGCTTCATTGTGTACCATTGAAACCAATACCTCATTTCAAAGTGAATCAATAGTCTTGATCTGACTAACTGAACTTTAATCATGGAAGAAACAAGTCTACATACATCTGACTTTCCAGATTCTACAAGAGCAAAGGCCCCGCAGTTCTCTTTGAGTAGACCATTCTCGGCTGACATCTTCAATATAGCGGACCCTGTGACAAAACAAAACCATGTCATGAACAGAAAGACATGATGTTATTGTATTTCGTAAAGACATGTAGTGAGTGAGTGAGTTAAGATTTAAAGTAAAGATATGTAAGCTTTATACAGAGCAGTTAAGAGACAGGGACGAATAGGTTCGGTGACTTCGGGTAACTTCTCCACGGGGTTAATGATCGACTTCTGAGGAAGCACGCAGCCACGGATGAAGTAAAGGATCGTCAAACCGTCAAGACCGAGGATGACCAGTGACCGGGATGACCGGGACGCAGTTCGTCTGGCGAGACACAATCCCATGACCCATGACGTAGAACTGTTCATAGAGACTTACCGTTCGACTCTCTACCAGAACGAACCTGAGGGTTTGCCGGTCTGAGGGAACGTAGACATCAGATCTGGCCCCGATTTCTCAAAACAAACTGAAGTCTGAGTTTTGACTTAAGTTAGAGTTTTTACTCAAAATGCGTTTCCCAGAATGAACTGAAATCGATATCTTGATAAATGCTCTATGTGGAGTGCCTAGTATATCAACATGTCTGCCAACGCTTGTAAACATCAAAATGCAACATATGTATCTACGACATGCTCTGTGTTAAACGCAACATTGACAAGCACACAATTTTGTTATTCTTCGTGCCGAGGTTTTTTATTTACAGTGTCAGTAAATGAAATTAATGAAATATATATGTGTTTCCAAAAGTATAATTATTCCTAGTTATCTACCCACACACAGGAAAAAAGAACCAACTCGGCGTGTTTTTTTCTTGTTAGTAATACAGAAACTAATGATGTTTGTAATTCAAACGATGCTTGCAAACAAACTTGTATTAAAATACAATCATAGGAAATACACAATTAAACATATATCCGCAGCATGTCAACAACTAGCAACTTTATGGCAGATCTATGTGTAAGGCTGGCTATAGATACATATCATAGTGATCTATAATCGTTAACTCATTATCGATTGATTAGCGATAAACATTGGAGACGTAACAAAACTGTCTGAAAGAAATTGGTGGGGTGACATGTTATTGCATGAATTATTAACAAAACAGTGTCCTGGGCCTAGATTTTCTTAGCGCTAAGATAGTCGGAAGTGCCATACATTAACATTAACTCACCACTATCTTAGCGCTAAGAGAGCTTCGAAAATCTAGGCCCTGAACATAATTTAGAAACTGAGGTCCGCGTAAGTATCCATCTGTTCATAAAATGATTGATCTATATAATTGTTATGGACTAAGTACACTAAGAAAATTATCCAAATTGTGTAATTTTATCAAAAAAATTGTCAAAATCAACTGTTAGTTAAACATAAGCAGCCACTACCAATGTATAATAGTGAATGAGAGTTTATGTTTTACATCACAAGGGCAATCTCTCAGCCATAACGTGACGAGAAATTTAATGTAAGTATTGGATATAGTATGAATAAGAAGCCTGTATTTGATGGACAGTACTAGAATATCACAGATAGAAATGAAAACTAGCTGATAGCAGTTAAAAGAAAGAAATATTATTAATCAACAATACAATATAAAACAGGCTATGGATCTCCAACAACTGAAGGTAGATCACCATACTAGGGACCATGGGCACTTACAGTACCTTTCCTACCTGCATGGACACAAGTTGGATTTTCACCATCCCTTCAGTCACTGGCGACAATTGATGAGTTAAGCCAAAATTTGAAAGAACGAATATGCTTCATTTAAAAGCCTGGGCCTAGTTTTCGAAGCTCTTAGTGGCGCTAAGGTAGTCGTAAGTTAATGTGAATGTATGGCACTTACGACTATCTTAGCACTAAGAGAGCTTCGAAAATATAGGTCCTGGCTTGAATGTAGATACTTCGAATGGTATGGGACTTACATACTCTCTTAATGGAACAATAAACCAATGTATACTAGCTCTCTGTATAACCTAAGTATGATATGTATGGAGCCTTTAATACATATTTGTATTTGTACTCAGTATATCTATACACTGAGTCAGATTTGTCTCTTCTTCCAGACCCGTGAAGATCCGGGGTAGAATAGGTTGCCACAAAAGGCGACTATGCTTGTCGTAAGGGGCGACTAACGGGATCGGGTGGTCAGGCTCGCTGACTTGGTTGACACATGTCATCGGTTCCCAAGTGCGCAGATCGATGCTCATGCTGTCACTCACTCACTCTTCTTCCATGCATGAAATGAACTATAAATGTATGTAATCTTACCGTCTCCCTTCAATCGTGAAGATCCGGGTTAGAATTGATCTTCAGTAACCCATGCTTGTCGTAAGAGGCGACTAACGGGATCGGGTGGCCAGGTTCGCTGACTCAGCTATATGTCGAAGGTCTGTAAATAATCGAGTCTGGACCAGACATTCCAGTGATCAACAGCATGAACATCGATCTGTGCAATTGGGATACGATGACATGAATCAACCAAGTCAGCGAGCCTGACCACCCGATCCCGTTAATCGCCTCCTCCGACAAGCATGGGTTGCTAAAGACCAATTGTAACCCGGATTTTTACGGGTGAGGAGGACGATGATGATGGTGGTGGTGATGATGATGATGATGATGATGATGATGGTGATGATGATTATGCTTGTATATGCAGGTTAAATACACTGTTTTGGCATATGCACGTGACTTTCGATTCTTTTTCGATCCGTCAATCTGACTCTCAATTCTAACCCGGATCTTCACGCCGTATTTAAGCAGCCATCGCCCTACATTTAAACACCGAGATTACCATCCAGTGTATTTGGTTGCCTGACAACGAGCCTATATTGCTGGGGAACCTGTATTGTTATCTTAATTACCCTCAGGTCGTGAGTGGGCTACCATAGTTGGATACACCCTAGGACTGTATGGATCAATACAGAACACAGAATTTCATTCATGTCATAATAAATGATAAATACATAGTTACATACACAAGAGATAAGTTTCATACGGTGTTTCATACAGTTATACTCACATGTACAAATATATAAATGCACAACCACAGTTATACTCACATGCACAAATATATACACCCACAACCACAGTTATACTCACATGTACAAATATATACACCCACAACCACAGTTATACTCACATGTACAAATATATACGCCCACAACCACAGTTATACCAACACATGTACAAATATATACATCAACAACCACAGTTATACTCACATGTACAAATATATACATCAACAACTACAGTTATACTCACATGTACAAATATATAAATGCACAACTACAGTTATACTCACATGTACAAATATATACACCTACAACCACAGTTATAATCACAGGTACAAATATATACACCCACAACCACAGTTATACTCCACATGTACAAATATATACGCCCACAACCACAGTTATACCAACACATGTACAAATATATACATCCACAACCACAGTTATACTCACATGTACAAATATATACACCCACAACTACAGTTATTCTCACATGTACAAATATATACATCCACAACCACAGTTATACCAACACATGTACAAATATATACATCCACAACCACAGTTATACTCACGTGTACAAATATATACACCTACAACCACAGTTATAATCACAGGTACAAATATATACACCCACAACCACAGTTATACTCACATGTACAAATATATACGCCCACAACCACAGTTATACCAACACATGTACAAATATATACATCCACAACCACAGTTATACTCACATGTACAAATATATACACCTACAGCCACAGTTATAATCACAGGTACAAATATATACACCCACAAGCACAGTTATACTCACATGTACAAATATATACGCCCACAACCACAGTTATACCAACACATGTACAAATATATACATCCACAACCACAGTTATACTCACATGTACAAATATATACACCTACAACCACAGTTATAATCACAGGTACAAATATATACGCCCACAACCACAGTTATACTCACATGTACAAATATATACGCCCACAACCACAGTTATACCAACACATGTACAAATATATACATCCACAACCACAGTTATACTCACATGTACAAATATATACATCAACAACCACAGTTATACTCACATGTACAAATATATAAATGCACAACTACAGTTATACTCACATGTACAAATATATACGCCCACAACCACAGTTATACTCACATGTACAAATATATACACCCACAACCACAGTTATACTCACATGTACAAATATATACGCCCACAACCACAGTTATACCAACACATGTACAAATATATACATCCACAACCACAGTTATACTCACATGTACAAATATATACATCAACAACCACAGTTATACTCACATGTACAAATATATAAATGCACAACTACAGTTATACTCACATGTACAAATATATACGCCCCACAACCACAGTTATACTCACATGTACAAATATATACACCCACAACCACAGGTTATACTCACATGTACAAATATATACGCCCACAACCACAGTTATACCAACACATGTAATACAAATATATACATCCACAACCACAGTTATACTCACATGTACAAATATACACCTACAACCACAGTTATAATCACAGAATGTACAAATATATATACGCCCACAACCACAGTTATACTCACATGTACAAATATATACGCCCACAACCACAGTTATACCAACACATGTACAAATATATACATCCACAACCACAGTTATACTCACATGTACAAATATATACATCAACAACCACAGTTATACTCACATGTACAAATATATAAATGCACAACTACAGTTATACTCACATGTACAAATATATACGTACCAAATATATGCCCACAACCACAGTTATACTCACATGTACAAATATATACACCCACAACCACAGTTATACTCACATGTACAAATATATACGCCCACAACCACAGTTATACCAACACATGTACAAATATATACACCCACAACCACAGTTATACTCACATGTACAAATATATACGCATACAACCACAGTTATACCAACACATGTACAAATATATACATCCACAACCACAGTTATACTCACGTAATACAAATATATACATCAACAACTACAGTTATACTCACATGTACAAAATATATAAATGCACAACTACAGTTATACTCACATGTACAAATATATACACCTACAATACACAGTTATAATCCACAGGTACAAATATATACAACCACAACCACAGTTATACTCACATGTACAAATATATACGCCCACAACCACAGTTATACCAACACATGTACAAATATATGCATCCACAACCACAGTTATACTCCACATGTACAAATATATGCATCAACAGCCACAGTTAT